ATTTCCTTTTCCCATACGGGAATAAGCTATACCAGTATAAGAACACTGATTATGGTATAACTGCATCCACATTGGGGGGGGTTGTCCTTGTTAACTATAACTTTAAAGTTAAAGCAGTACACCTTTTATGTGTACCCAAGGTGTGGGCTTATTCTAGGTCTGATTCTGCTTTCCTTGAAGTCATTGGCAAAACTCCCAATGATATGAGTGGCAGCTTATAGATTTAGGGAAGAACCAGGGCAAAGGGACAGTGGAACTGAATGAGATTTTTGTCTGAGTAAAAAAATCCCAGAATCAGGCATAAGCTACTTAACAAATAAATAACCTCTCTATCCCATATCGACAGCTGGAAATTTACCCAAATTATTTAGAAGCAGAGGGCAGTCACAAGGCCAACCATTTATAACATATTAACTTAACGACAGTATCAATTAATGAAGCTAATTACAACATACAGCGGGTAGGGTATTTATAAATCCCTCATACGCAGTATCTGCCAGTCAACAGTTTTTAAACACAACATTAGAAATGTTCAAAGAACCTGGCTTATTACCATGATGCTGCATCTGATTTTAAAGGGGAAGGAATGGAAGTAATGAAAGGAAGGGTGGGTGAGAAAGAATAACTGAAGATAAAAAAAATATGGGGGTGTGATAAATGAAGGGGGGGGGTTAGCTCCCTTTGATGGACACCCAGCCAGTCAGTTAGCTGTAAAATCCCTCTTGGTGTAGCTGTTCTCTGCTTGCTTTACCTGTAAAGAGTTAAAAAAGTCCCCCAGGTAAAGAAAAGGGCACCTGACCAAAAGAGCCAATGGGAAGGCTAGAACTTTTTAAATTTGGGACAGAAAGTTTCCCTTTGTCTGCTGTTCTCTCTGGGCTGCAGGGAAACGGAGCAGCAATGCTATAAGCAGGAATGCCGTGTAAGGTTTGAACCAGGTATGAAAAATTATCTTCCAATACCTAGAAGGAATCATTTGGATAGGGAACGTTTAGATAAACGTGATCAGGTTTATTTCTTTATTTTAGCTTATGGATCTCCTATGTGCTAAACCCAGATGCTTTTGTTTGCTTGTAACCTTTAAACTAAACCCCCAAGAAAGCTATTTTGGGTGCTTAATTTTTGGAATTGCTCTTTTAAAATCTAGCAAAAGCCTAAATTCCAGATTATTTTCTTCCCTTTTGTTTTTAATAAAATTTACCCTTTTTAGGAACAGGATTGGATTTTTGGTGTCATAGAATCTCAGGGTTGGAAGGGACCTCAGGAGGTCATCTAGTCCAACCCCCTGCTCAAAGCAGGACCAAGAGGTTTGTGCATGTTGCTTGATTAGCTGGTCGCAACAGCTAATTTTCTTTTTCTTTCTCAGCTCTTCCCTGGTGTGTGTGTGTGTGTGTGTATGTGTGTGTGTGTAAGGGCTTGAGGGTACCCTACAGGGAGGAATTCCCAAGTGTTCCTTCCTGAGCCCAAGGGGTTCTTTGCATTTGGGTGGTGGCCGCGTTTACCAAGCCAATGTCAGAGAAAAGCTGTAACCTTGGGAGTTTAATACAAGCCTGGAGTGGCAAGTATTAATTTTTAGAATCCTTGCGGACCCCCACCTTCTGCACTCGAAGTGCCAGAGTGGGGATTCAGCCCTGACAGGGGGTGAGGGGGAAAAAAGAAAATATAAAAGGGAAAGAAGAAAATAGAAAGGACTGAAGAAAGCATATAGTCTGAAGGGAGATTTAAGGAAAGACATAGGAAAGGCTATGTGCATGTGTAACCCGCACACCTTCTGAGTGTGGTGTTTTGTCCCATCTAGTGGCACGGAGACCACTTAAAGAGAAAGATAAAATGAATCTGCTCCACAGCCTTAGCTAATAGCTTTTAGCTCCTGCGGTAGAGGCTCATGCACTAAGCTCTAGAGGTCCTTGGTTCAATCCTGCCTGCTGACAACCGGGGTCTGTCGGTGTTACACATGCAGTGACTCTGTGGGCAAGATAATTCACCGCAGAATGGAGTCATAGAGAACAATCTTTCTTCTCTCTCATGATGTACCTATGCAAGGATCACTGTCACTTTTCAGGAGCCATTCTGCCCATTTCCTTGAGTGTGTATATAGGAGGGCTTTCTGTTCCCTTCCTGGGTATTAGTCTCTCCGAAGATCCTTCAACCTTCAGATCTGCAAGGCTTCAAACCATAGAATCACAGAAAGGTGGGTCTGGAAGGGACCTAAAGAAGTCATCTAGTCGACCCCCTGCACTGAGGCAGGACCAACCGTAGGCAGACAATCCCTGACAGGTGTTTGTCAAACCTAATCTTAAAAACCAATGACAGGCATTCCACAACCTCCCTTGGAAGACTATTCCAGAGTTTAACTACTCTGACAGTTAATTTCTCCCCCTAATTTCTAACCTAAATTTCACTTGCTGCCGATTAAGCCCATTACTTTGTGCCCTACCTTCAGTAGACATGTGGAACAATTGATCACTGTCCTCTTTATAACAAACCTTAACAGATTTGAAGACTAGCAGGTTTCCCCTCAGTCTTCTTTTCTCAAGGCTAAACATGCCCAGTTTTTTTAACCTTTCCTCATAGGTCAGGTTTTCTAAAGTTTTTACCATGTTTTTGGTTCTCTTCTGGACCCTCTCCAGTTTGTTCACATTTTTCTTAGAGTGTGGCACCCAAACCTGGACAATACTCCAGCTGAGCCTCACCAATGCTGAGTAGAGCAAGACAGTTACCTCCCATGTCTTACATATGACATTCCTGTGAATACACCCAGTATACTAGTCTTTTTTCCAACTGCATCACATTGTTGGCTCAGATTCAATTGGTGATCCAGAGACGACATGCACACACAGAGCTCATATTGGAGGGGCATGTAGGTATGGAGCATACCACGCACAAGTTGCCATCATGTGTCTAGAATCTCAGCTTTCTTTCTTTCTTTTTTTTTAAGTAAGTTTCTAGCTATGATGGATTTGTCTACACTTAAAGTTAAATCAGCATAGCTACATCAGTCATACACATCCCTGACTGAAAAAGCTGTGCTGACAAAATCCCCAGTGTAGATGCAGGTATATCAACGGAAGAGTGCTTCTGTCCATTTAGCCAACATCATTCAGGGAGGTGGTGTTCCTACATATAACCTATGACTCTGGAGAACACTAAGAGAGCACAAACTGATGCTGTGACATCTGTCTGAGTTTGTAAAAAGCCCAGAGAGTTCTGAATTGCCACCTTCATCACAGTGAGTTTATTACTTTTATGCCCAATGACGATAAATTAATTGTCATCATTGTTAACTACTTCACTGCTGATGGAAGCAAGCAAGAAAGAAGAGAGACTATCCTATTACGAAGATCTGCACAATCCACTGTGTGGCACCTCATTTTGGCAACTCAAGTAGGAAACACTTGGTTCATAGGAGAAACATAGAAACTTATCATTCCTTTCCCCCCCAGTTTGAGCCTTCTGAATGAGTATGCAGCTGCATTTCTGAGTTCCCCTCCTTTGGACATCAGCAAGAGACAAGAGAAGGGTAATGAAAAAGTAAGGTGGAATATGTACTCATGAATATTTCCAGGGTAAGTGAAAAGCTGTAGAGCAGCATGATGGCATAGAGAGCACTAGAACTAATAGGACCCCCTGAACTGACGTTACAGTGATTCAGCAAAAATAACACTGCATCTCTTTGCAGGATTCTGCTTTTGACATTTACAGTATATCATTTAAAAAAAGTAGTTTCTTGGCTCACAAAACCTTCAGGCAAACTACAGAAAAGTAGATTAATCTGTAGCCGGATTTATAGATTATATATGTATTGTTTACTTAAGAATCCCGTTATCACTTCGAGGGTTGACTAGGTTTGTGTTCCAAGATCAGGCCCAGTATTATTTAAATTATTATATAGTTGGGAACCCCGATACGCCCAGTTGCAACACTTGCACTATAGGAACTTGTTTATATTTACAAATAGTTTATTAACACATTTAGCACAGTCACAAACACCCCAACTCAGTAAGGTACATAAAAATACTGCAAAATGTGCATCTGCACATCCATATACTCTCACCATCCCTTGTAGAACAATCTGAAATGTTAGCCATCATCTTCCTCATCACCTTTACCTTTTCCCTCATTACCAGTGGCCATCATTCTGGCACATCCCACGGACTACATCTCCTTTTCCCCCCTCCCTAGGCTGGGATGCAACTTTTATAATATGTTACACGGGTGCCGCTATGTTTGATGCATATTCTGTAAGGGATTTTTTCCTTTTCCTTATTTGAATTTTCTTACCTTGCTAATGTTGGAGAGTTTTTCTTCTGTAGTTTAATATATCAATGATTTCAACTTATTAAAATGTATGCCATGGCCCTCTTGTGATTAGGTAGCTCATATACCTGTTATATACGTTAATTTGTTGCCATGACACTTTTGTGGTTGAATCATGCACCTGTGGTCAAAACTTCCCCTTAAACACTTTATTTTTGGCTTCCCAATACTTGGGGTTTCCTTTGGCTATTTATCTGTGGTTTATTTGTTTGAAGGTCATAGGCCTCAAGCCTTAAGCTAACTTGCTGAAGCTAATGTCTTACATGACACAGGCCTGTAGGTTTCTTGCATTACTGCTGGATATAATGCAAAGCAGAATATAACGCAAAGCAGTAAATACAATAAAGGCAAACTAGCCCACTGGGCTACAAATCTTTCCTTGTAATTCATCTATAAGGAACAAGGCAAATCCCTGCAACAGTGAAAAAAAAGTATTCAGTGAATTTTGCAAAGGTCCCAGCCATACCAAGTTTGATAGAAACCTGTCAGTTGAGCTACACTGAGAAAAGGTGCAAGCACCATTTGCCAAGCAGTTTGGAAGTTATTTTCTAGAGGACAGTTTTCCAAGCATCAAGTGGGTCAGACAGTTATAGTGCATAACGTGCACATATCTTAGGAGCAAACACCAATGTCATAGCTTTCAACACAGACCCACTAATGTATTATTATTATTATACCTTCAAAATTAGTAAAATAGATATTATTCATTATCTCCCTTAGCAATATATACACAGATCCCTTCAGAAAGCAAGTGTTTTTACATCTTACCCTGCTTTTAATGCATCAGACACTGGAAGTGGGTCCAAATTTCCCCCTGCCTGGGGTTTCCCTTTAAGAATAAAATGTAAGCGTAAGCTTTTGTTTGAATGTGGCTGTTCCTAAGGTTTTCCCCGTAGAACATGTTCCCTCTATCTCAGAGATAGGCTTGAATGTTGGAATAAGAGAACTTACCTGAACCAATATCAGAGTAAGTCAGCAAAAATAATCCTGCATCTCCATGGAGGGTTCTAGCAACTGCCTCCGCAATTACACGACCACATCTGCAATCAGCCAAAAGGCCTTATTATTATCAATTGTTATTTTTGTTTATTATTCTTTGTATGGTGGGTGGATGTTGTATTTGTATTGCTGGCTCTTCTGTAAATACCTGCTGGCTTCTCCAGTTGTCATACACCAGCCTATTTGCTTTTGCATCATATCAGGGTTATATTGAGACACCTGGCATCATGTGATTGGACACAATCTGACCGGAAAAGGTTTGAAAAACTCCCACTTGTTGCACAGATTTCTCATGAATAACCTCTGTTCAAAACTACAGGCGAGTAAGATAATAATAACTGTAATAAATAATAATAATAAGCTAGCATTCCTATGATATTTTACATCTACAAAGCACTGTGCAAACAAGAAGTAAAGTGAGCATATAAACATCATTCCATATGCTTGTCAGTACACGGTTTGATGAAACCATAGTACCTGTTGAGACAAGAAGATCTTTCATCAAATCAGAAATTTCAGCAATCTCAGAGACTCTTGCCTGGGGAGGCTGCTGAAACCCATGTGGGAGGCTATGTTCACAAGGAAAGCTGCACGAAAGAACATCTCCTAGAGTCTAATGACTGCCCCTTGACAGGAAACTATACAAACATGATCCTTAGTCTAGGGGTTCAGAGCCTGTACCTATTTACTCAACAACAGAGTACAGAAGAGGGCATGTGAAGACTCTGGGTATGTCTACACTGCAATCAGAGGGGTGAGTGCAGCACTTGTAGACATATCCAAGCTAGCGTTTATCTACCTAGCTCAAATAACAATAGCAGTGAAGCTGTGATGGTGCAGGAAACTGCACAGGCTAGATGCTTGAATACATATCCAGAGTCCTGGGTGGGCTTGTACATCCCGTGCGGCCACCTGTGCTGCTGCACTGCAGTCACACCTCTGCCTGCACTGCAGACCTACCCTCAGACATTTGCAAATTATTACCCCGCTTGCATTTGGTTATTAATAAATTATGCAGTTGTCCAAGGTTCAGAAAATAAAAAGGCACAATCCCCAACCATACTTGAAGTAGTTATACTTTGGGCTGTAACGGCCCTGCCCCTCCACACCTGAAAATCATGGCAGGACTGGAGGAGGAGTTAAAAGAGAGGGAACTCCTCTCAGACCTGGGCAACCTAGGGAACAGGCTGTTGAGCCTCTCCAGCCCTGAAGAGAAGAGTGACAGACTGCAGAGCCCCTCCTCGCAGATACATGGTGCAGGACCACTGAGCAGAGGCGGAAAGAGGACTGATACTTATACTGGAACCTCAGTGGCCTCTAAAGTGGACAGTGATATTCCCAGGGTTTTTCCCTGCAGGTTTTTTCTTTTCCTTTCTTTTGTTTCACCCCATTTACTTACCGTGGGCTGTTCTGTGGTTTTGCAGGGGACCCCGAGAAGGGACGAGACTCCAGAGGCCTCAGCCAGAGGATGGAGCGCCAGCCCTCTACAACACCTGCTAGAGTGGGGGATAATTGGACTCAGATGTGTGTACTCACCATGTAACTCCTAGAGGGGGCACTCTATCATGGACAGCTTTTGCGACAAGGTGCTCAAAGTACAATGCGGATTTCTCACCACTGCAGCCCCTACTAGCACCCCCTGGGGCATCAGCTACTCTCATGTGGGAAGGAACAGAAATGTTTCTGTGCAGTGGACATGCTCCCTCGGAGTGTCAGGAAACCCCTGTGGATCCTGTGTGATGACATTAGGCAATAGAGGCTCTATTTAGTCTGGGAACTAGAAAGCCAGAGAGCACTACAGGGTCCCGTCTGTGTCCAGCAGCCTCAATAGAGAATTCCCTTTTATATTCATTCCAACAGATTTCTGTCACTTCTCTACCATGATGGACCCTACAGATGGGAGTACTGCACATGAAGGGACTTCTGGATTGGGAGTCGAAGTATACCACCACCAGCCAGCTCCTCTGGTAGGCTCTCATCTTTTCACCCAGCCCTCAGGTTGCTTCAGGCCCCTGCTGGTGGGGTCCCTAGAAAGCCAAATCTCTACCTGGGGCAGACCCATGTAAAACATTTCTTCCCCACTCGACCTATTTCTCCAGGAGAGGAGACTGGGTAGGGTTACCATATTTAGTGCCTCCAAAAGGAGGACACTCCACGGGGCCCCGGCCCCGCCCCCAGCCCCGCGTTTCCAGCCTGGGTCGGCTCGGGCCCTGGGGTGCCGGCCCC